AAACCAAAAAAAAAAAAAAAAAAAAAAAAAAAAAAAAAAAAAAAACAGACTCCCTCTATAGCTGAAGATGTGTTTATGGGGTGTTTGGGATGGAGCCCAGGACCTAGTACATGCTGGGCGTGGGCTCTACCAACTCAACTCAGCCTATGAGGTTTCTGTGGAAGGCAGTTGGCTGATGTTTACATCTTTGTCAGCCAGATGGTCCCTGTCTGGATTGTCTGTCAACCCTGTGGGCGGTGACTGGACTCAGTGAATGTTTGTGCTACCATCCCACATCAGAGCCTAGACAATGAAATTGAGCCTTGAGATTAGGGATGGGTGGGACTCGATGGCAGGTGGGGGATGGCAGATCTAGGACATCAGGTGCAAAGTTCCTGGGGCAGTGGCTGTGGATGTCCGGGAGGGAGAAGAGCTCTGGATAGCTGGAGAGAAAGTTAAGTTCTCTACAGGGAACCAGCTCCTGGGCTGGGCTCTGCCTGCTGAGTGACCACTCTCTCTCTCTCTCCCCAGTACATGGGCTGTATTGAGGTGCTCCGATCCATGCGCTCTCTGGATTTCAACACCCGAACGCAAGTGACGAGGTGAGGCCTTGGGTGGGTTGGGAGCTCAGGTTGCAGTTGGCCTGTCCATCGTGAGGCCTCTTTAGGGTGGCATAGTGGGTTGGAAGTGACCTGCCAGGCACCCAAAGACAGTAGGTAGACTGGGCTCAGCACTGGCCATACTTGAGCTCTGCATCTCAGTTCTGTCCCTGGTTGTTGTGCATGGCTGTGATGGATACTCACCAGATTCCATTTTCCTTCAGCTTGCCCTAAAGTGGGGTGTGACTTCAGGAAGGTGATGGGAAGGGCTTCCTTTATTCCAATTGCTATGAACTTAAAAACCAAAACACAAAGCCAGGTGTGGTGGCTCATACCTGGAATCCCAGCACTTGGGAGACAGAGGCAGGAGGTTTGCTATAACCAGGCTAGCCTAGGATAGCCTAGGCTACAAAATGAGACTGTCCCAAGAAACAAACAAAAACAATAGCTAAGATCTATTGCCCCAATAACCTGCCCCTGTCCACTGCAATTCATTGCTTTAAAATATCTCTGCATAGTGTTTTATAGCCACCTGACCTATCTAGTTCCAGAACATCCCCACTACCTAAAAGGAAGCCCTGTTCTCATGAACTGTTATACATGAACTGTTATACATCCATTTCCTGTCTCTGGGCGTTTCTTAGGATGGAGTCTCACACCGTAGCTTCCTGTCTCTGTCTTAGTCACTCTTTGTGCTGCTGTGACAAAACCCTGATAAAGCAACTCAAGGGAGACAGGGTTTATTCAGCTCATCCAGTGCATCAGGCAGATGCTCACAGGATCTGCTCATCATAATAATTATATAATAAAATAATAAATAAATAAATCTGCTTGAGGGGTCACAGTCATAATAAGGAACAGAGAGATGAATTAATATACTCATGCTTATGCTCAGTTTGCTTTGTCTACTCTTACACAGTCCAGGATCCCCTGCCTAGGGGGTGGTGCCACCCACAGTGGCCAGATCTCAACACAATCAAGACAGTGCTCTACATATGTTCTCTGAGGCTCACCCCTAGGTGATAAACCATGTCTCATGGTTCACAAGTGTCCTCATGCTGTCCCTCCATGCTGTGGTGTGTGTCAGACACTCCCTCCCCTTCAGGGCTGAATAATACCACAGTGGGTGGATGGACCATGCTGTATTTGGCATTCACCATTGCTGGACACTGGGTACCCAGGATCTTCACATCCCATCAGCCCCATGTCCCATCTGCCCCTAGCCCTTTCCACCACCCACTCTCACGAAGCCCTGGCTGCAACTAACTTGCAACATATCTCAGGCTGGCGTTGAACACATTGTCTTCCTGCCTCTGCACTCTGGACAACGAGTTAATCAGACCTCGCTTTCCTTGTTAGCCTTAACCCTAGCTGTGCCTTTGTTCGCTCTCACCCTTCTGCAGGGAAGCCATCAACCGGCTCCATGAGGCCGTGCCCGGTGTCCGGGGCTCCTGGAAGAAGAAGGTGGGTGTGGCTTGTGGTCTTGCTGAGCTGCTGTGTGCGTCTTGGGAGGCTAAGGGAACACTGTGGCCATCTGGAGCCCCGCTGGCTCCAGACATCTGACTTGGGTGTCTCACTGTACCCTCCCAGGCCTCCAACAAGGCACTGGCCTCCATCCTGGGGAAGAGCAACCTGCGTTTCGCTGGTATGAGCATCTCGGTCAACATCTCCGTGGATGGTCTCAACCTGTCTGTTCCTGCCACCCGCCAGGTGGGAGCCACTGCTCTCCGCCCACAACCCCACCCTTGCCCAACCCACAACCCTGCCATCTCTACCTTGCCCACATTCCTGATCTTGGCTCCACCCCCACTTTGCCCACAGCCCACAACACAGCATCATTTTCTCAGCCCCGTACTTCCAGACAGGGTTTCTCCGTGTAGCCCTGGCTGTCCTGGAACTGCTGTGTAGACCAGGCTGGCCTTGAATTGCGAGTTTTGCCTGCCTCTGCCTCCTTAGTGCTGGGATCAAAGGTGTGCGCCACCACCGCCTGGCTTCAGTCCTATAATTAACTCCCCACGCGTAGCTCCATCTACATCCCTACCTTCAGCCCTGCTCCCAAGTCTGTCTGGCCTGCTCACCTCAGCGTTGTCACGGACCCCACCACACCCACTTTCAACCCAGTCCATAGTCCCACCTGGCCCCATTCTCAGTTCCACCCCTGGTAGCCAATCCCTGGGCCTTGCCCTCTGCTCCCCCCAAACACAAACCCTTCACCCCGCCCTTAGCCCCACCCAACCTCAAAGCCGGCAGCCGTACCCACCGGGCAGGCCTTTTTTATAATCTGCAGGACCCTTAAGATGGCCAGAAATATATGCTCCACGGAGGTGGATCCAGGACGTGGGGGGCACTATGGGCACAAAGTCCCCAGTAGGCAGGATCTGAATGGTTTACTTGCTGCCTTTATGCGAGGCAAGGCCACCATGGGGCAGATATGTCCACAGTTGTCCAGAAGGGTACCTGGGCTGAAGTGGGTGGCAGCCAGGGAATGTTCTCAGCACCCTGTACTCTGAGGATGCCAAGTCCCAGAAGGATTTGGAAGTGGGTACCCCTAGACATGGGGAGGAGGGGCATTCTAGGATGGCTCCTGAGAAGAGGCATCTCTTATGGGAAAGGACAGCATGTTGAACCTGGGGGAGGAGTCTGGGGTCTGTCCTGAGAGTAATGACAATGGCATTGTAGTCTCTTTTGGGAACCGAAGGGGTAATGCAGGACCTGCTGAGTGCTTGTCCTAGCAACAGGGGCCATGGCCATGTCTCATGGGGAAGGGACTGCAGTTAGGGTAGAAGTGGGCAGGACCTGCTGAGGGGCTCACAGTGGGGGAACAGATAGGCCTTGGAAGACCTGAACCCCAAGCCTGACTCTGATCACCCTAACTCTAGCTCCAACATCCACCCCAACCCCACTTCTTTGTTGTGAGACAAAATCTCACCGTGTAGCCTTGCCTGACCTGAAACTCATAGAGACCCACTTGCCTCTGTTGGGACTAAAGGCATGGGTCACCATGCGTGGCTTCAATTGCACTTCTAACGCTAGCCCCGATCACAACCTGCCCCAACCCCTAACCTTAACTCTAACCCTAACCAGGTCTTCAGGTCTGGTGTAGGTCTGGCTCTCTTACCTGTGGTACAAATTCTTGCTTTGCCCTGGTAGATCTGAGATCCAAGGAAATCTGAGCTGGAATTTTATCAGCTAGCAAGGCACAGGCTGAGTCTATCAACAGTGGTTGCAACTGTAGTCCTGTAGTGAGCATTCCTTCCCTGCTCCCTTGTCTCTGGCCCTCCTGGCTGGTGCTGGCATAGCCACATGCTGTGGCGCAGGAGGATGTGTAGAGCTACTCATGGCATCTCACATCAGGTAGGGACAAGGCTGGTCTCACATCAGATGCAGCTGGTGCCAAAGAAACACGCTTGTGGCCTGGGGCGCAGTTGGTAGAGTGTGATGCCCTACATCTGCTGAGCAGCCCAGCTGGGATTGAGGTCCCATCCCCCAGCTCCGGGATCCAGGTGGTTAGTGAGTGGGGCTCTGGAAGGTGGGGGGTACTCTGCCCCACAGGAAGACTGGGAGCCTGCAGCATGGCAGAGGCTCCCACTGGTACTGCTGCTGTATTAGTGGAGAAGGGAGAAGGGAGACCACTCGTGACACAGGCCTAGGGATAGGGCGAATGAAGGCAGCTGGCGGGGGACCAGAGCCTGGAGAAGAGGCCTCACTCTGTCTAATGTCCAAGCCCTGCAGCTAGTGGGAGGGACATTGCTTGTTCCAGATCATCCTGAGCCCATGGTCCTGCTGAAGGGTCTTAGGGGAAGATGTGGTCACTGAGGCCCTGGCTTCAGCTTTCTGAGCCTTGTGAGTTATTATTTTGAGTCTTAGGAGCCTCTCTTCTCCCCACTCCTCCCTCCCTGTTCCCCTCTCCTCCCTTTCTCCCTTCTCCCAATGCCTCCCTTTCTCCTTCCTCCTTCTAGGAGGGAATACTTTAATTCTGGGGAAATAAAGTCCCTATACAACTTTAGGAACCCCAGTGACAGGCAGCAGATGGGGGTGGGGTCATGGAAATGAATGGGAATAAACACATAGCTGGGCCATATTCAGAGACCAGAACCTGGGATAGGCTGCTTGGAGCATGTGTGTGTATATAAGTGAGGGTGTCGCCATGTCTACACTAGGTGGGCACACAATCACGTGACTCCCAAGACCTTGCCTTCCTGTCCCCTCCTTAGGCCCTGTTCCAGTCCTCATGGGGGCCTTAGCTATGTTAGACAAGTCAGAGGAACATACCTCCATCCTCACGTTGCTGCCATGTCCATCTCCCTTGTGGCTGGTTCCCCGGCCAGGGCTATGGGTGACCACGCCTGCTTCCCTGTCCTCACAGATCATCGCCAACCATCATATGCAGTCTATTTCCTTCGCTTCTGGTGGTGACTCGGTAAGATGGGATGGGTGGACCACCGTGTCGTGTCACTGCAGCCTTCCCCAGACCCTACTTGCTGGGCCCTCTGCCCCTCCAGGAAGCTGAACCTGGCTAACTTCTCCCACCTCTCTCTCCAGGACATGACTGATTACGTGGCCTATGTGGCCAAGGACCCCATCAACCAGAGAGGTGAGTTGAGGGGAGCTCAGGGCTCTGGGCCTGGGGCAGAGCTGTGCTGGAGGTCACAGGTGCACTGACCCCGTGCCCTCCTCAGCCTGCCACATCTTAGAATGCTGTGAAGGTCTAGCCCAGAGCATCATCAGCACTGTAGGCCAAGCCTTTGAGCTACGCTTCAAGCAATACCTGCACAGTCCCCCCAAGGCTGTAATGCCCCCCGAAAGGTAAAGAGAGACCAGGTTTCCTGGGCCAGGCTGCTAGCTCGACCCTCCAGAGGTAGGCTGCTTCTGCCTTCTTTCCTCCAGAGTCCTTTGTATGGAGTTATCTCATCCAGACTGAATGCAGCAGCCCCCTTGTTCTCTTGAGGGGTGAACCCCCTCTGTTAGCAGAAGAGGGTGGGGTGTCTTGTATCTGTCTTGCCTGTGTTTTCTGACATTTGTTCTAGTACAGACAGCTGCCGGTGTTTGTGGCAATCCTGTGCACATGGATCCACCTCACATCTCATGAATCTGGTTGCTGTCGCCAGTGTTACTTGGGGAAGGCATGGCTGATAGGTGGAGGGTTGGGAAGGGAGGGCCAAGTGTTCCAGCCTTGTTCTGTGTCCCCAGGCTGACAGGGCTGGAGGAGTCAGCTTGGGGTGACGGTGATGAGGCTCTGGACCACAATTACTACAACAGCATTCCAGGGAAGGAGCCACCTCTGGGTGGGCTGGTGGACTCCAGACTGGCTGTCACACAGCCCTGTGCACTGGCGACACTAGGGGGCCCGGGACAGGTCAGTCTCCATTATCCTGTGGGGCCAGAATGGGTATCCATGCCCTTGGGGTGGATGGGGAGTGGAGTGCTGGGTGGGAAGAGGGCCTGGCACATACCAGGGTCACCATGCCTTTCTTGCAGGGAATGTCACCTGCATGGAGAGAAGCCCGTGGCTTGCCCTGGGATATGGGTCTCTCCGGAGCAGGTAGGTTGTGCTGGCCTCATGGATCTGGGGTCCTCCGAAATGTTCTACCCCAACAAACCTTTCTGCATGTAATTGTGCTCTTCAGGCTGTGTGCTCCCAGTTCCACACCTCTCCTGCCATCTTCATTGCTTCACAGATAAGGTCATTACAATTTGGGGGCACGCTCAGCTTCTCACTTCTAAACTCCAGGGGGCGCTGCCTTCCTGCCAGACTCCATCTGAAGCCCTGTACCCTGACTAGGCAGGCATGTTAGTGGCTGATGACTCAAGAGGCTTCCAGAATTCTTTGTGCACATGCAAGCACTTTGAACATGGATTACTTTATCGTGTTTCCAGGGCATTCTCACATATATGACACACTTGGTTTTTGTCCAAGTGACAATCCTTTGCAGGGACCTCCCACAACTGTACACTGCAGACTTCTTCTTTTAATAGTTCATTTAACTTTATTGTATGTATGTTGGTGTGAAGGTGTCACATCGCCCGAACTGGAGTTACAGACAGTTGTGAGGGCCACGTGGGTGCTGGGGATTGAACCTGGATCCTCTGGAAGAGCAGCCAGTGCTCTTAACCACTGAGCCATCTCTCCAGCCCTACTGCAGACTTCTTAATCTTTTCATGACTGTATAATACTCCTCCTTACAAAGCAATGTGACTTCTCTGGTGTGGACTATGCACCCACTCCCAGGTGGAGGGGGTGTCTGTGAACTGACACCTTATTAATCTTCTCACCTGGGGCTGTGGCTTCAGCTTGCTCCTCTCTCAGCAGCCTCTGAGCTACTGGTCAGTGTTCATTACAGATCTCAGGTGTTGTTAGCCTCTCACTCTTAGTCAGGTGTGTGTATGTGTGTATAAATAAGCATACATAGACATATATATGATCTCATGTAACTCAGGCTGGCCTTGAATTCACTATGTAGCTGAGGATGACTTTGAACTCCTGATCCTCCAGCCTCTACCACCTGAGTATTGGGATGGCAGATGTGAGCCACCACTCACAAATATGTAGTTTTTCCTTAAGGTGGAAACAAAGAAAACAAAACAAAAACTTTGAGATAGGCTCTCATTTTGCAACCCAGCTGGTACTGAATATCACACCCTGCTAGCTCCTGGATTCTCATTTAGCTACCATTAGTATTTTATTTAAGCTCTCACTCTCCCTGTTTTATAGCGGCTCAGTGACATGTCTGGGTTCTTGGAGGGCAGAGTCACATGTCCTGTATCATGCTGATGATACAGGCAGGGCTCACACTTCCCAAGGAGGGCTTGGTCACAGCTGGTACCCTCCAATCCTCACTTCCTGACTGGGGTTCTGAGAAGTGCCTGGAGCCACCCTTGGGGTCTGAGAAATCTTCTCAGCTGAGCTCAGATGGGAGAAATGAAAGTCAGGCTGTTCATGAGGTTGGCACAACTCCCAGTGACCCCGAGGGGTGAGGCTGAGGGGACAGGGTGTCCTGCTACCCCTGGGTGGGTGGACACATTGTGTAGGACCTGACAGGGTGTTAACAGCCTTCAGGAGACAGATCCATTCTAGATGTAAATACAAAGGAGAAAAGAACACAGATCTGAATTTATCCCTGTCACCCAGGTAAAAGCTGAGTGAGGTGGCTGGTGTCCAGAGTCCCAACGTTGAGGAGACAGAGACAGAGAAAGAGACAGGGCTCAATGGCCGTCCACTCAATTCTAGTTTAATCAAGAGTTTTGGGTTCAGTGAGAGAACTCGTCTTAAAACATACATGGACACACACACACACACACACACACACACACACACACACAGAGCAGGTGGCTGCTGGCCTTAAAATAGGAGCAGAGAGTGGTAACAGCTCAACCATGTGGCAGGATTGTGAGGGCCACACTGTGACAGTTTAAACAGAGGGCCAACATGAGCATCTAGCTCTTTGGAGCCTGGAGTCTCTCCCCACCCTTCTCTTGGCCAGAGAGCTGCCCTCTTGCTGCAGCATCTGGGGTCTGGGCTAAGTTTGCACGTGCGGCTAGCCTCTCTCCCCAGCTGGAGCACTGTGCAGCTCTTTGCTCCTGCAAGAAGCCTGGGTTGGCCCCTGTGGAGTGACACTGGTGGTGTCCCTGTCCACTCCTGCCTCCCTCTGGGTCTTGTTTCATTCACTGTCCTCGCTCCCCTCTCCAAGCCCTCTGGATTTCCTCTGACCTGCCACCCTCCATCCTTTCCAGTCCTACCTGGGGATGGCTATGTGCAGGCAGATGCTCGAGGACCACGTGACTACGAGGAGCACCTGTATGTCAACACCCAGGGCCTGGACGCTATCGAGCCTGAGGACATTTCTGAGGCACCTCTGATGCCTGAGGACAGCCCCAAGAAGGACCTGTTTGACATGCGTGCGTGGCCCGTTCCCCATCTGACCTGGGATTGCATGGGGAAGATCCTTGGGAATCCAGAGGGTAGAGGGTCCCAGACTATGAACCTCACTTGGCTAGGGACAGACTTCTGTGCCATACCTAAGCTAGTCTGATGGGTGAGGCCAAGGCCCCTTCTGTGGGCCTCCCAGCCTCTGCCCACAGACTCAGTCTGAGGGGAGAGCCCTGACCTCCTCTCAGTGGGGCCTGTCAGTCCCCACCTAGTAGGCTAGGAGATCTCTCTGGCTGTCTCAGTCTCAACTCAGGGTCTCAGGTGGGGGTGGGAGAGTTACTCCATCTTCTCCTCTGGGAACTCCAGCCTGGAAGGCAGGTCATTCATTAGAGAGAGTCCCCCCCCCATACTGATGAAGGAGAACTGGTGTGGTGGAGGCCTCCCACCCCCACCCCCGAATGATGACTCAGTCTGAGGGCCCAGGGTAATCTTCCCAGAAGGATTTGTAACAGTCTCCATATTCTCATGTCAGTTCCACCCCCTTCCCTGGGCATTGAGGGGTGCTGACTCTCCCAGGGCCTCCCAGATGGCTAGACATTTCTTCCTCCAGATCTTTGCAGTCGGTCTCCCATTACCATCGTTTTTCTTTGCTGTGTGTCTATGAGGATTTAGAGGCCAGAAGACAACCTTGGCTTTGGTTGCTTAATGCTAACCACTTTGTTCGTTAGTAACTAGGCTGCCCAGTGAGTGAGCTCTCTGGATCCTCTTGTCTTCCCTTGCTCAGTGTTGGAGTTACCAGGACACACCACTGCTCCCAGCTTTTTACATGAGTGCTGTAAAAAGCTTTGGTCCTCTGATTTGCACTGCAGGGTCTTTACTGAGCCATTTCCCCAGACCTCTGCAGTTGCATTCCTTCTCATTGAAATTGTGGTGTGAGGTAGCACCTCCCTAGTGCCTGCTGTGTGTCGTAGCTGGTTGTGGAGCAGAGCCTCTTGACTCCTCACAGTGGGAAAGCAGGTTGGGGTGAGCTCCCTGCAGAGGCAGCTGACCCTGAGTGATAGCCATTTGCCTGACTTCCATGGGGAGGTGGGTTTCTAGTTAGCATTTGGCAGGGGAGTCAGTGGGGCTTGGTGGAGCTCCTGTGTTGGGCACTTGGGTCACTTTGTGTCACTCCTTGTTCTTGGAGGGTCCTGAGACTGGGGGAGATCACCTGGCCCAGAGCAGTGACAGCTCCACAGAGGTAGGGATGTGAGGCTACCTACTGTTACCAAAAATTGTCCAGGACAAAGACATAAGATGAGGTCAGCAACGAGAGGCATACATGGGGGTAGAGGCTAGGGCAAAGGGAGTGCTGATACGCCTCAACTTCTCCGAAAGTGAGTGGAACCAATAAACTTTGCTGATAGTCACTAGGCTGGGGTTGTAGAGACTGTGCCCAGTGCCAGGTTGGGTCTAGAAAATTCCAGGTCTGGGCTTGCAGCTGAACACCTGTCATTCCAGCTTAGTAGAGAATGAGGCAGAAAGACAGAATTCAAGGCTAGCCTTGGCAATTTGGTGAGACTCTATCAAAAAGTAAAACAAGGACTGGGGACATGACAGAGCTCTTGCCTAGAATTCCCCAGTGAGGGGCTGGGGACTTGGTCAGGGGTGGAGACCCGCCTGGAATCCCCCAGTGAGGGGCTGGGGGCGTGGTCAGGGTGGAGTCCCTGCCTAGGATCTCTCAGTGATGGGCTGGGGGCGTGGTTAGGGGGTGGAGCCCCTGCCTAGACACCCCCAGTGACTGGCTGGGGGGTAGTCAGGGGTGGAGTCCCTGCCTAGGATCTCTCAGTGAGGGGCTGGGGTTGTGAGTCTGGAGTGTGCAAGACTGAGGGCCTGGGTTCTGTCCCAGCAAATAGAAAACAAAATAACCCACAGGACCCTTTGAGGATGCCCTGAAGTTGCACGAGTGCTCAGTGGCAGCCAGCATCACTTCAGTCCCATTCCCTTTGGAGGACCAGTGGCCCAGCCCCCCTACCCGCAGGGCCCCCATTGCACCCACAGAGGAGCAATTGAGGCAGGAGCCCTGGTACCATGGACGGATGAGCCGTCGGGCTGCGGAGAAGCTGCTTCGTGCCGATGGGGACTTCCTTGTGAGAGACAGCATCACCAACCCGGGGCAGTATGTCCTCACAGGCATGCACGCAGGGCAGCCCAAACACCTGCTGCTGGTGGACCCTGAGGGCGTGGTAAGCTAGCACTTGGGGAAGGAGGGAGGGCAGGGACTCCGAACTTATGGGTTGGTGAGGTTTTTTAGATCATGAATCCTTTACTGTGGAAAAGTCCTTTGACATTAGCATCTAGAGAACTACAAAACATTTTCCAGTTAAAAAAGATTTTTGTTTTCTTTTGAGACAGGCTTTCTCTGTGTAGCTCTGTCTGTTCTGGAACTCATTCTGTAGACCAGGCTGGCTTCAAATTTACAGAGATCCACCTGCTTTTGCCTCCTGAGTGTTGGGATTAATAAAAAAAGTATATTGAATCCAAATGTGGTGAGTCATGCCTGTCATCTCAGCACTTGGGATGTAAGTTTCAGGCCAGCCTGTAGCTTCAGAGTGAGAACCTTGTCTCAAAACAGCAATAACAAAATATTTGAAAGGAATTTCCACTTTGGAAAGCATTTTGGGGTTCACAGAAGCCCCTTTCACGCCCAGCCTCTCTAAGTTCCCACCCTGGGTGCCTGCTCCCCACCTGAAGGACAGCAGCTGTGGTGAATTTATCTGGATCTCTAAGTAACTTATCAAGTCAGGGCCTTTCTGGAATCAATTGGTCTTCCCACATCTTTTTAGTCAAATTCTCACTGTGTAGCCCTATGTGGCATGAAACTCCCTCTGTAGACCTAGCTTTGAACTCAGAGAACCACTGGCCTCTGCCTCCCAGGTGCTGGGATTAAAGGTGTGGGCCACCACTGCCTGGCCCATTGTTATTTTGTGTCTATGGGTATTTTCCTGTGCGTGCATGCGTGCGTGCGTGCGTGCGTGCGTGCGTGCGTGCGTGCGTGTGTGTGTTTGCCAGTATCCTCAGAGGCCAGAAGAGGATCCCAGAGGACTGGAGTCACAGATGGCTATGAATGCCCATGTGTGTCCTGTGAATCAAACCCTGGTCCTCTTCAAGAGCCATGTCTCCAGCCCCACCTATCATCCATCTACATATCTATCTATCTACTATCTGTCATCTATTCATTTATTCATTCATTCATTTTTCTGAGCCACAGACTGCCTCTTGAATGGCAGCATGGCTGACCTTGGAGCTTCCTGCCTGTTCCTCTGGCACAGATTTTCCTGGTGCCACTGAGAACCCACAAATGCCTGCTTCCGAAGCACTCAAGGGTTTGGGGAGTCCTACTTCATGGGGACCTAGAGGATTTTTTCTAGGATCCTGGTGAGGAAGGATTGGAGCCTTCTCATCCACGAAAGCCATTGTTATTTTATTGTCTAGAACAGTGGTTCACAACTGTCCTAACGCTGTGACCCTTTAATAATACAGTTCCTCATATGTGTGACCCCACCAACCATAAAACTATTTCATTGCTGCTTTATAACTGCCAGTTGTCTACTGTTAGGAATTGTAAATATCTGATAGGCAGGATATCTGATTTGTGACTCCTGTGTGAAAGGATTGTTTAACCTCAGGGGGCTTGTGACCACAGGGTGAGAACCGATAGCCTAGCTGCACTCTCATGTGATTTCAGGGGTATCTTGGTTTCCTGGGGTTCCGAAGCACCAATGGTACAACTTAAAAGAAGGCAGGGCTTGTCTTGAGGAGACCTCTGGGCCAGTCCTTTGCTGGAGTCTGGGAGTGGTTGGTGGATCTTACTACCTTTGACTTTTGGACACATCAATACCATCTCTGTCTTTGTATTCTTCTTCCTCTCTCCATGTCTGTCTTCTTCCTTGTCTTGGGTGTGTGTGTATCTTCCTCTGTGGCTTTCTACCTTTCTTTTGTTTTGAGGCAGGGTCTCGCTGTATAGCAGTGGTTGTCCTGGAGTTTATAGACCTGGTTAGCCTCTACCCTCCTGAATGCCTGGGTTAAGGGCTTACAGCTCCACCCTTTCTTCTGGGGCATGGTCTCTCACTGAAGCTGGAACGCAAAGATTGAGGTTGGCTGCTGAGCAGGCTCCCTTTACAGGTGCCTGTAGCTTTTACATGGGAGTTGGGGACCCCGACTCAGGTCCCCACACTTGCCAGCAGGCATGTTACTGTCTGAGACTCCTTAGCTTTTCTGCTTTTTATTGTTAATTTTTAGACAGAGTCTTTGAGGCTGTCCTTAAACTCGAAATCCTCCTGCCTCAGCCTCCCTGAGCACTGGGATTATGAGTGTGCCTTACCACAAGGGCCTCTGGTTCTGGAGTCTTGGGGCTGGTTCTGGGGTGGAGTCCTCTGCTCCAACAAGCTCTTACCCAGCAGGTCTAAGCTGGTAGGGGCCTGGCCTTTGGGATGCAGTCCTGGATGGGGGCTGAGGTCTCTGCCTACAGGTGCGGACGAAAGACGTGTTGTTTGAGAGCATCAGCCACCTCATAGACTACCACCTGAAGAATGGGCTGCCCATCGTGGCTGCGGAGAGTGAGCTGCACCTTCGGGGAGTGGTCTCCCGGGAGCCATGAGCCAGGTGTGTAAGAGCCAGCTACACCCACTGTCTTTGTAGTTCCTGTGATATTCACCCCTTCTGTGGACCACCTACGGCTTTAGTGCGTTCTTTGTGTTTTGCGGCCATCACAGCAGCTAGTTGCAGAACATTTTATCATCCCAAAGCAAGCCAGCTCCTAGAAGCAATCACCCCATCACCCCATCCTTCAAGGGCTAGCCCTACTGTGTGCTACTTGCCCAGCTTTCCTGTCTGGTGGAGGGTGGGTTCTGTTTAGCCTTGGGCTTTTCGTGTTAAGGGGATGGATGGCTGACTTGAGAAGGAGGGAAAGATGTGATGACCTCAGGGTCTCTGGGCAGAGCAGGAGGAGGGAGGTGGCTGTGCTAGAGGAGGGCAGGAGGCAGCAGCTGGATGTGGGGGCTGGGTTGGGGGAAAGTGGGAGGGGCGCTGTGGAATTTTCCCTAGAGCTGCTGGTCAGGTCAAGCTGTTCTTCGTCCCCATGACAACGTTTGCTTCCTGTCCCCTTCTGGCCTCCTTCTGCCGGGGGGCCAGGGCTGCAGGCAGAACTGCTCTGATGAGATGGAGGATGTGGCCCTGTGGACCTCTCAGATATCTGTACTGTGCTGGGTCAGTGTATGTCGCCCAGACAAAGGTTCTATTCTAGCTTCATAGGAGTTTGTGAACCTAAACTTGAACACCAAGGGTTGTCCCGCTATCAGTGCGTGTCTCTTAGACCACAGGTTCTTTTTTTTTTTTTTTCCTGGTTTTTCGAGACAGGGTTTCTCTGTGGCTTTGGAGGCTGTCCAGGAACTAACTCTTGTAGACCAGGCTGGTCTTGAACTCACAGAGGTTCGCCTGCCTCTGCCTCCCGAGTGCTGGAATTAAAGGCATGAGCCACCACTGCCTGGCATAGACCACGGGTTCTGAGACTGGCTCTGAGGCTAGTATCTGTGTCTGTGTAGAGAGGTTTAAGAAATTGCCCTGGGGCACAGGGTAGCAGCTTGGGGAATTCCAAGGCCCAGGTAGCTGGGTGCCCATGGCTGCTGAGGTCCTTTCTATGAACACAGAGGTGGTTGTTGTCATGGACACTCTGACTTCACCTCTTTCTGTCCACAGGTGATGGCCCTCAACCCAACTCTTACCCCCAGAGGCCCTTGCTATGGCCTTGAGGGCTCAGCCTTTCTCTCGGACCCTGAAACCACCAGAAACAGAATGGTCGTCATTTCTCCTTCCGCATGAGCCTCAGGAAGCTGCCTTTTCCTAGCTGCACTCGGCTGGCTGGGCCAGTAAGACCGAGTCAGGGTCTAAGCCCCTGGTCCTGCCTGAGTCCCCACCCCGAACTTGGGTGAGGTTGTGTAAACCAAAGACTGACCGAGTCGCCTTTAACAAAGACACCCCAAATGCAGGCCTTGTGCCTTCCGTCCCCAGTGGGGCAGAGACATCAGGCTGTGTCCACGGAGAGACATGCATAGCTCTGTGTGGGCAGATGTAGATTCCTGCCCTAGCTGGGCTCTGAGGACCTCAGATGTACTGTTGCCTTTGGGGGGGATCAAGGTGCTTTTGGGTTTCAAACCCTGATGGGGGAGCAGCCTTGGGGCTCACCTGGAATGGCAGGGCATCCTGGTGAGTTAGAGGTGGAGGAACCTCGCTGAGGTGAGGCACCCACTCAGCACCTCCCAGCTGTCACCTGCCTGGACCTTCAACTGTAATTAAACACAGCGTTGAACATGAGCCTGCTGTGCCTGTGTGCATCTGCCAGGGGTTTGGGGGTGGGGGCAGCTGAGGAAGCCGTTCTGCGTCCTCTGACCTCTCCACAGCACCCCCACCTCACCCCATGACCCAACTCTCAACAAGCCTCTGACTTTATTCCTCTGTTCACTGTTTCCCCAGCCCCTTCTTGGAATCACCGTGACTTACCTCCTAGGGGCCCCACCTGGATGAATGGTTTCTGTACTCAGGGACCCCTACGGAGGACTGGGCTGCTCTGTAGTGTTCTGGAGTGCACACCAGGCATGGCGTGGGAGTAAAAGCTTCCAACTGCCACAAATACGAGACACCAATAAAGGAAGAGTTACAGGTCACTTTGATATCCTTTTCCTCCAAATACAGAGAGGCTGAGAGCCTCATCCCCACCCAGCCATCTTCCCATTCCCCTACCCATCCACCTCCTAACTTATCCATCCATACACTGTCTTTCTGGCCACCCATTCATATGCCCATCCGTCCAATCACCATTCATCCAAACACCATCCATCCACCCACCCACTCATGAGCCCATCCATCCAGCCACCCACCTACCCACCCATCCAACCACGCATGCATCCACCCATCCACCCATCCATCCATCCACTCATCCATTCATCTGCCCACCCCATCTTTAGTCCTAGCCACACCCCACCCACCCTTCTATCCACTTACTCTTTTACCCATATCCCAGCTTATCCCTTCATCCCACTACAGTCCTTAGAGCACCTCTCATCCATCAGGACTTCTGATGGAAGCAGGGTTGCAAGACTTTGATCAGCAAGTCGCCACTAAGTGTACTTTCCAGATAACAACTGGGAAAAGGAGGGTTCTGGAGCTCGGGAAATCTGGAGGGCTTCTTTGTGGGACCTGCTGTTGATCCCAAGGTGGAGGGGATGGAGTTCTGGGCAGAGCGAGAGCATACACAGAGGCCCAGTGCGTGTGAAGCTGGCATGCCCAGGGAACAGAAAGGTGCCCAGGGGTGGAGGACACAGGACTGAGTGGTTGTGGACCAGGATCAGAGGGAGCTGCTTAAGCATCAAGTCATAAACTTGAATTCCAGTGAAAAGAGCCACTCTGGCAGGAAGTGTACTGTTGACAGGACAGGTATAGCTGAAGACCAGGAAGAGGCAGTGTAGTTAGATTCTGGAACCTGTGTCAAAGAGAGGTTTTAACTGGCTTTATTCATTCACTCATGAATCCATTCATATATCAGGTCTTCCCAAGGCCTAGCCCCCATTCTCCCTGAAGCCCTTCAGGACATGTACTCAACACCTGCCTGAGTTTAGGGCCTCCAGATCTCGCTGGCTGGGAGATGGATGCTGGTGACTCACCAAAGACCCACACATGGTGAGGGATGACAAGGATGGTGGAGCTGCCAGGCTCCATCGTTATCTGATCACTCAACTGAGCCTTTGATAGAGGCAGATGTGGCCAATCTTCCTTTTATCCAGGACTCAGGCTCAGTTCTCCAGGTAGCCCAGGTGCTTGGTTCTTGGGGGGGGGATTCCACCTCTAGCTCTACCTTTCACATAATCAATTACTCAGTTACAAACATTTGCCCTAGCTGGGCAGTGGTGGCGCACGCCTTTAATCCCAGCACTTGAGAAGCAGAAGCAGGCAGATCTCTCTGCGTTTGAGGCCAGCCTGGTCTGCAAGAGCTAGTTCCAGGACAGGCTCCAAAGCCACAGAGAAATGTTGGGGAATGTACTTCTGTGTATGTTCATCTTATCGATTGTTGAATAAAGTTCTGTTTGGCCAATGAGGCAGCAAGTTAAGACAGGACTGGGAGTCAAAGAGGATTCTGGAAAATGTAGTAGAGAAGTAGTGATCTGGGCAGGAAGTGACATAGCAAGGAGACTCATTTAAGCAAGGAGAAACAGGAAGTGTCCCTTTTCCAGCGGAAGGCATCCTCTATAAGATAAGTCTTATAAAATATATAGATTTATGATAATTAAGACTGAGCTAACAGATGAGAAATCCTAGTCATTGGCCAAGCAGCTTTTGTACCTAATATAAGTCTGTATTATTTTGTTCATCCACGTGGCGGTAGAACTCGGGCGGCTTTTGGGAAAATATTTATCATAACAGAGAAACCCTGTCTTGAACCCCCCCCAAAAGCCCACAAAACCAAACCAAACATTTGCCCTGAGGGATCTTGGGATGGGTGTAGCAGAGCTGTGAATTTGAATTCTGGGCTTCTCTTCCTGTGAAGTGCCACTTACGCAGACAGCAGGTCCAGCTCCCTGTGGGCCTGCCAAGCACGGCACATGTCTGGAAGTGAACAGGAGTAGGAACAGTCAGGCTCCTGTGATCTGAGGCAAGACTACCCTTGCTAGAGCTGTGTGGGCTCAGGGATTGGCACCCGGTCTTTTTTTTGTTTTTGTTTTTCGACACAGGGTTTCTCTGTAGCTTTGGAGCCTATCCTGGCACTTGCTCTGGAGACCAGGCTGGCCTCGAACTCACAGAGATCCTCCTGCCTCTGCCTTCAGAGTGCTGGGATTAAAGGTGTGCGCCACCAACACCCGGCTTGGCACCAGTCTTAATCTATAGCATTACATTGTATTTTATGTGTATGAGTGTTTCACCCGTGAACCATATGAGCAGTAGGAACTCTCATCCTCCATGAGAACAAGTTCTCTTAAGCACTGAGCCATCTCTCTAGACAGGAGCAGAATGCCACACAGACCTCTGAGAAAGCCCTCCCCCTGGCCGTGGGGGCTAAGGTCACACAACTGGAGGCAGCACCGCAGGACTGTAGGAAGAAGTTGGGCCAATGCCATCTACCCTAGGAGCTCTCTCCAGCATGACCTGAGCCTGAGTTCTAGACGGGAGGGGTTTGGCCACATCTGTCTCTGCCAATGGTTCTCAAAGAGACAGACGGCTTGTTGACCAAGAGACTCCTGTTTGCCATCTGCCAGCTGAAAGGGCTGGGCTCCCTCCCTGCAGGGTAGGGCCCACAGGGGCCAACAGGGTGGGACTGGAGACCCACTTCCAGATACCTCTCCCCACTGGCTTCCATTTCTAAGCTGCAGGGCACAGCAGCTGGGCTCATCTGTTGGAGCCAGCCTCTGGAATCCTTTGTCACTTGGGTCAATACCCTTGGCTAAGATACTTGCTCACCTGCAGAAGGCCTGGGGGAAAAAATTCCAACCAACATCCTTCAGGCTCTCTGGGACTCTCCACAGTAGACAAACATAGTCTGTGAAATCACTGAGGTGGCAGAGGGACTGAGAGGTTTGGAGGCTTCCTGATGACACACAGCAGGAAGTGTGT